TTTCGTGTTTATCAATAAAGGACCAGACTGTGAATGTGTTCCTGATGCAGAATGAGATGCAGAGCTGCACAGCCTCGGGAAAAAAATGACTTAGAAAAAGGGACTTAAAAATCCATCACTTTTTCCTTGTCTCTAAAGAGAGCAAACTTACTTTACAAGGTGCAGCTGTCTTCTTCCAGTGTGCAGCCTCACATCTGAGATCCAGGGCACTCATACACAGGCAGGGAAGTGTGGTGGCCCAGATCTGAGAGCTGGCTGCTTTCTAGCAGAGGGCCACAACAGACTTGGGTCACGTAGGGGGAAGTGAGGAACCCACACACCCTCCTGTCCTCTGCTGTGACCGCGCTGGGATGAATTGCACAGTGCCCTTTTAGTCTGAGTGATTCAGTCTCGTGGTAACCCCCGTTACAGCAACCACCTATTAAAAGGACAATAAGCATGTTTGTTTGATGAACTGCGTGGTTTGCTCCTGAACTAACAGATAAGGTCCGGTTTGTTTGTTCTGCTGTTTCTGCCAACACTACTGGACATCAGAGATTAAGATCCAGACACTTGTTTGTTTATTTTTGCACCATGCAAAGTATGAAGAAAATATAAACCTTTTAATAATTGATGGGAAAAAAAGGTTGCATGTCATTTGCAAGAAGTGACAATTGACTGAAAGTATTGGAAAAATATTTATTTTGCAAACCTATCCCGAGAGTCAGAATTTATTACAAAATATGTGCCTTCAGTGGGTTGATCTTTCCTGTCTTTGGAAAACCCCAGGATTTTGTAAGTGGATGAGAGACTCGAGGAGGTCTAGTTAAACGTTTTGTAAAAGTTATCACAGAATCAAAAAAAGTCAAAAGATTTCATTTGGCCTCCTCACTGCTGTTGCATTTGCGAGGAATGTCGCAAGCAAAACACTCCAGTCTTATCAAATCATTAACATTGATTCTAGTCTTAATGGGACCATTTGTTTTTCATTTGGAGACATTATCAAGCATTTTGACTGGTGTATATAGCTTGTAGTAAAAAGGCTTTTACATAGCGAAGTTCTTTACCTCATGAAAAAATTATGCTCCTTCTCCTCATGAAGGATACGTGGCCTCACTCCAAAGAATTAAGTATTTTAAAATTAAAACAATTTCAAAGCTGACACAAATTATTTGGTGCAAAGTAAACAACTGTTCTTTAAAAAATGTTTGGATAATAAAAGCAAACTCTTGTGAACGCAGTAAACAAATTTTAGTTAGGCATAATTGGATTAGTTATTGGTTGTACTCAGTCATGCTGGAATTTTTCCTCCTGGTGCCTGTGTGCTCTACACTGCTTAAGTATGATGTGAGATAATATGAAACGGTGTATTGACGGCACAAGGAAACTATTTGGATGGCTGTCTGGAGTTGCCATTATTGGCTTTAATTATGACTTGCTGTCCTTTGGGTACTAAATGAGCCAGAAAGGGCTTCATACGTGCCAAAGTATTCATTAGTATTCCCCTTTCTGTCATTGGACTTGCAGAAAAAGTTTTTATCTGGCACCTTACTGCAGTTCTTTTTAGCATGGCCCAAGATGCTTTGCAGATTTTGATAATCATCTGAAAGCACACCAGCATCTCTACTTTTTGGATACAGTAGAAGTTGTTCCTAGGTAACAGTGGCACAACTCTGACCACTTTCTGATGTAACTGGAGAACAAACCCTTTTTGCAGTCGTCCAATAACATGGCTGCTTAAAATCAGTCTCGTGGTACCAAATGGAGGAATAAAAGTAGTTCCTTGTTTCCATCTTCCTGGTTAGGGAACCTGCACTACGATTTTTCAGGAAAGTTCCTGTATATCATCATTTTAGGCCACCTGCCACAGTTCCATATAGAATTAATAATGAAGCCACAAAAATCTTTCTGAAATAAAAATAGCCTTTGGAATCCATTGTGGTAATGAAAAATTGTCTATAGCAAAGTACTTTTTTCTCTGCCATGAGGTGTCTCTTGGGTAGGTACAAAACAAAACAACCACTCACAAAGAATATTCCATGAACTCTTCTGACACTTCACTGTGGAGGCTGTGCTGAGAATGGTGACCACTCCTTTGGCATCTGCTCTCGAACAGACCGGTGGACAAGGATGAATTCTTGCTCCAGTACATATTTACTGTTGCAAAACTTAATTTTAATTTAGAGCCTTCTTTGAACCGAACTTCAAGTCATATTTTCAGCAGCCTTTGAAATACTGTCCTGTGGGACACCAGACTGTTCTTAGAAGTGAATATTTTAACTAAGGTGGTGTATAAACAGATGCTCCTCATTTTGGAGGCATTTAGTGACATCTTCCACTTCTCATCTCTCACATTAGACCATAAACTGGCCTTTACTTAAGCACACAACTCTTCCTGAACTTCTAGGACTCCAGGAGGATGCTTACTTCTGTGGGCTGTTTCACAGCCTTGTTCTCTCTGAAACCCAAGATCCTCACACTTCTCAGACTTTTATCTGGTTCATGTAGGGATTTCAACTTCTGTTTAAGCGTTCCTACCCAATATTTTGCTTTTGTGGGATGTTTGTAGTGAAAAGATGCCAGAGATCTTCAGTATCGTGCCCTGTTCAGGCAGGAGGAAAGCTTCCAGCTGGACAGCTTGGGCTGGTGAGGAAATGGATGAGAAGGAAAAATGCTGTCTCAACATATTTTAGCCCTTATAAACCCATTCCCTGAAACCTGGAACTCAGTTGGGATATGGGGTTAGCTGTGCAATGGGAAAGAGTCCCTGCCTGCCTGCTCTGTCATCCTCCTCCTGCTTATCTAGCCTAGGTTAGCCAGAATACACTATTTCCATGGTTTCCTTTCCAGCTCTGTGCATTCAAGGAACGTGCCATCTTCCAGGCACAGGGCTCCTCACTACTTTCTGGCATGTCTAGTTCAGCAGTGTTGATCTTTATGCTTTCTAAAACTTGGTTTCAGAGACGGGTGGGGGGAATTGGAATTAAAAAAAAAAATCTTTCTTTTCTTTAGTTGCTGTTTGTTGCAACTGCAGAGTTTTGCTTCTCCCTACAAGCGCGGCAGGTGGTGCTCTTGGCCCTTCCAAACACAAGCTACACTTCCTAAACTCCAGTCAGGCCAGAACTGTGCCATCCTTCACCAGCTGGCTGGTTTTAGCCCTGTCACGTTCAAGGGCTAAATCTTTGAGCTTTGAGTGAAGTGTTTCCTACCAGTGAAGGGGAAAGAAGAGAAGGTACTTTAAGTAAGGATTGGATGTTGGCAGTAAATGAAGAAAAGATCAATGAAAACAAATTAACTAGTTGGCAAGTACATCCTTAATTACCACACTATAGCCCGGTCCAGCCTTCTGTCCCAAATTTAGATGTGTGACCCATAAGGAAAACATTGTAGCTAATAAACAGAATGGTTCTGTTGAGGTCCTTCCCGTTGTGCTGTTGTACTTTAAGTAGCATCCTACTCTCACCTACACATTGTAATGTCCCACTGCAAGCACCCCAAAACTTGTAACGGCAACTATTCCGGTGCCAAGGTGTTCAGGATTTGAGAATAGCCACTTGCTTGTTTCTCAGCAGGTATCCATACTCTGCACTGAAGATCGTGCATTTGCTGTCACCCCTTACATCTTACAACATCTGCCCTTACATCTTACAAAATCTGGATCAGAAAGGCCATCACCAGTAGGGAGGTAGATTCTCTTCCAGCTGTTAACAAAGGGATGACAATTAAAATTGGCAAGTGTCATTATATTTGCTATTTTTTTTATTTTAATAACATTTCAAGTGGAAAACGTGCCTCTCAAGGTTTCGAAATTCTTAGTTGAAAATGTTTAAGAAAGGAACTAAAAATAGGCAATTGTGAGCAGAACTTCAAAGTTTGGGGAGAAAAATTAAGAATACGTGCCAGGTATGTAGTCACTCCATCCTTACCCAAGCTTGTTTGCAGCAGTCTTCCTGGAAAGGCATCATTGCCAGTTCTTTTGAATTTTTCTTGTAAATATATGTTCCTGAGGCATTTAGTATTAAGTTAAAAAAAAAAAAAAAGTAAATTCCCTCTTCATTTATTCTAGCAGCATTTAGTTCTGCTGTCCCCCAGTCCTCTCCTGTGTATGTTAACTGTGCTCAGAGATGTGGTAAAATAGGGGAAATTGCATGTTTCACCCCTGACCATCCCTGGAAGTTTTTAAAAAGAGATTGGACATGGCCCTTAGTGCCATGATATAGTAATTAGAGTTGGATCAGGGGTTGGACTTGATGATCTTGGAGGTCTTTTCCAACCCAATCTATTCTATGATTCTATGATTCTATGAAGGCATTTAAATACACTTGTTTTCAGGCTTGTTTTCTTGGAGTGCAAGGAGTACGTACCAATAGATGGTGCTGTTGGTGCATTAATAAGGTTCAGTTTCACATGTTTTCTGGTCTGTGGTTGGAATTTGTTTAAAAAAAATAGAGAACAAAACGAAACCCAAAAAGGAAAAAAAAAAAAAAAAAAGGAAAAAAGAACAAAACAACAAAATCCCCAATGCTAAGCTTTTATCCAAAATGTTCTCCCCGCACTGAACCGGTCACCGTTTAACTTTAACCTGAACTGTGGCCCAGGAAATCCTTCAACATAAATAACCTTGGAAGCTGCCATGACCATTTTTGGAACGTGCTGCCTCAATAAATCTGTTACTTTGTTGTGCAATGTTGAAGTGTGCAGTTGTTTCTCTGATTAATTAGGGCAAAAAATAAACTTGCACGATCAATCCAAGCTGTGACACGTTTCAGCCCTGGCTGGAACATGTGGGCAGAAAAGAGCCTTAGAGCCCTCTCGGCAGACCTGCCCCAGGATTTTAGGATGCATGCTGGTTTGGAGTTTACTCCATTTGATGAGATAAGGTGGCTGCCAACAAAGTCCACAGTGAAGAGTTTTCGTCTGTCCCAGAACTACCATGCTAGGTTAGCACGGGTAGGACTGAACACAGTAAGAAATGATTCATCTTGACCACTGCCCTCACTAAAGACAACATAACAGAACTGTTTTATGTAATTGTGTTTATTTTATTTCACATATTACCCATGGAGAACAGCTGATACATTCTCTACATCTTTCACCAGTCTGGAATGCAAGATAAAAAAAAAAGGTATGGAAAAAGAGTTTAACGTTTGACATTCACGATATGAAAAATAGAGGCGATACAATGTTTTAAAATGCCCTTATGCAATATATATATATATAAAACGTATAAAAATAAAATATATTTTTCAAAAAAAAGGTACAAACATGACATGACACAGAACAACCTTAAATACCGATACATATCTCGTGATCCACACACACCGCACTTATAATTAACAAAAACCACGTACAATTGCACTTTTCCTCTCTGTGACGTTCAAGTATATCGCAGTCCCCGCAGGGACTAGTGAGTGTCCGATTCCCTGCCGGGTGCAGATAACGCAGAGGGTAGAGCAGATGTGGGCGGCCTGTCCTTGCCCAGGGCTGACGGGCACCCTCCAACTCGCGAAGGCAGAGGGCGAGGCCGGGGCCAGTGGCCCGCCAGCGGGTCCCTCCGGCGGCGGGGCTCCCCTGAGCATCCCCTCCTCGGGGCAGCGCTCGGGAGGGACCGCCCGGCCCCGCGGCTGCAGCGGCGGGCGGGGGCGGCTCGGCGGCGCCTTCCAGCCCTGGGCGGCGGGTGCGGGAGCCGGGGGGCCTCGCCCGGGGAGGGTGGGAGCGGGCGGCGTGCGGGGGGCGCAGCCCCGGCGGGCCCGGCCCTTCACAGCTGCCCCGCGGAGGGTGCTCCGGGTCCCGCCCGGGCGGGCGCTCTCCGCGGGTCCTGCCGGATCTCAGTCCGCGCCTCAGTCCATCCGTCGGGGCGGCCTCGGCCGGGGCGTGCGGCGCTCACACCTCCAGGACGAGGTCGAGGGGCTGCGCCCGGTGCGTCCGTGGGCGCCGCCCGGCGCGGGGGGAGCGGCGCTCGGGCAGGGACCGCCGCCGCCGACCGTAGCCCTGAGGGCTGATCTTGTTGGGGGGGGCGGTGTCGTCCTTATCCTTATTGCCGGTCGTCCTGTGGATCTCGTCGACCAGCCTCTGCACCGTGCACGTCCCGAAGCGGCACCCCATGCGGATGGCTTGGAAGTGGGGGAATCTGTTAATGCTCTGGCGGTAGCGCTTGACGCGGATATGAGCATCCTCCCGGCTGCTGCGAGGCAGGAAGAGAGAGAACGGGCTTGAGAACAGCGCAGTGAGGCCCCGGAGGAGGGGACCCGGCGGCCGCGGGAAGGGGACGGGAGGGCGGGGAACCCCCCAGGCTGGAGACAGGCTTGTCCCGAAGGTGCCCAAGGGCCTCCCACCACCCCCGGCTCTGCCCTCCGCCGAGCGAAGGGAGCGCGGAGCAGAGCTTGCTGCCCATGAGGGGAGAGGCCCCGCCGGTTTATGGCTGTTACTTTATCTATGGATCCAGAGCTCAAGTTACTATTTATATCTGACGTTCGCAGTAAAGGCGCTACTATCTCCCGCCAGCTAAAACGCGCGGGGAAAGGGAGGCGGGAGGCTGCTTTCAGCGCGATGTGCAGCCCGGGCAGGACCTGCCTCCGGATCTGGGGGGACTTATATCGACAGTAACCCGAAACACCCGGAAACGACGACCCTTAAACTTTCCACCGCCTCGAGCAAGTGCCCGAGCCCAGAAAGGGCTGGAATTTACCTGGGATGCGAGACTCGGGGATCCTCCTTCACGTCCTGGGTCCGCACGAGAGGCAGCACGTCGGCGGCTGCCCCCAGCCCTCGGAGCACGCCCGCAGGCTTCACGTCCCGCTTGGCTCGGCTCAGTGCCCATTTCGTCCATCTGAAAGGAGCACAAGGGAAGAGGACAGCCTGTTAGCGCAAGCCTGCAGGGCGGGAGCCAAACCAAATAGATTCGAGGGGCGAAAATCTTTGCCAGCGCCGAGATTTTTTTTCCCTTTTTTTTTTTTTTTTTTTTTTTAAATTTTTCCCCCAGTGTTTCCTGAAAGGGCATGAGGCCTTCAAGGAGCTGTGCAATTCCCATAGGGAGTCCGGTCCCTCTGATCGCGGCCGGAGCCCGGTGCGGGGGCGCGGAGGCTCCGCAGCTCCACGCGCGGCACTGGGCGCTGGCAGGAGAGCGCGTTCCGATACTCACTTTCTTTTGAACTCTGTCGCTACGTCCACCCTTGCAGCATCCACCCCGAAGAAGGTCACAGAACCGAGATAGAGCAAGGCGACGTGAACTAGTTTCATTCTGGCTGGGCTCCTGGTGGAGGGAAAGGAGAAGAACCGTAAGCATGTTTGCTAATAAAAGTCAAGTAAGGACTGTCCTTTAGTTCTGGTGATTCCACAGAGCTCCTTTCCCCGCAGAGCCCCCAGGCTACTGGGGACTTTGTGTCTGATATGAACCAGAAGCTAATATTTGCTCAACAACTTATCACAGAGTAAATAACAGAGCCTCCAAAGTTTACGTTTGTCGAGCGTTTTTACTTGCAGAGGCGGCTGAAAACCAGCAGGATTTCCAGAGTACCCCCAGCGGCTTGCACTAGGATTTAGCAAACCCATGAGATTAGAGAGCTGGCTATGGGACGCATCGTTTCCAAACTCCAGCAAGTGTTTTGCTGCCTGGAAGTTTATCCCCCGATAGCTCCTCTTCCCACTTCACATGCAGAACCAGCTAGTTCTGGATCTTATGTTGTAAACTGAAGCTGATGCCAAGAGCCAGTGCAAGACTCCGCAGCATAACTCCAAGCTCTTCAAAACAGTCCAGATTTAGTAGATTCTTACTTCCTCTCCACCTTCCCTGAGTCTTTTTGTTGTTGTTAAGGAGGGGGGAAAAAAATAGCTCTTACCTGACAGTGAGGATAATCCACTGAGACAAATGTTTTTGTAGTAGCGATCCGAGTTTGCAGGGTTTCCTGAGGAGCGAGAACTCCTCCTTTGTGTGTCTGAAGTAACCACTGCCGAGCTGCGCTCCACCGCTCCCTCTTATAGAGCAGCGCGGGGGAAGTGGGTGGACCTTGGCGTGGCTGGGCGATTTTTCTTTGACACTTACCCCCACCCCCACATTTCAAGCACTCCTTAAGCATTCTAGCCTGGATTGGGGGCAACATATACTAGGGTAAAAATAAGAGGATTATTGAAAATTATCTTAAACAACCCTCTTGGTATTTTGTTAATCATAACGGCAGCTTTTAGGTGTAGTTTCCGAGTAATGGCATAACTTGCAAAATCTGATAAGCCCCTCAGTCTGTTTTACTGGGAACAGTCTTTGTAACTGCTGATATATAATTATAATTTACACGGTCTGTAGCATAATTTCTCATTCTAGACATCTTAACTTCAGGTGGGTGGAAGCCGGGGAGTGGGAACCAGATTCGATGCATTTCAAAATCCACAAAAATCCATCAAATACCAAAGTTCCAAAAATAAACCCATATTTGGACAACGTGAATTGTAATGAGTAACTGTAGTGAGCGCCAGCCTTCTTTACATAATTAAGGAATATCAAACATCATTAATATTTATGACCCAGCTTGGGTGTATGTTTTATCTAACAAAATGTATTTGATTTATTTGATCGATTCAAATAAATCACAATTCAAATGGTTTTGGAAGATGAAGGTTAGAGCCCAGTTCTGTACCTTGGAACAGAGGAGGCGGTATTGCTTTGGGGCAAACACAGGGTCACTGAAACGCCTGGGATTAGGGGCGCCGGGAAGACCCGCCGTGCCTTGTGCTATTCCCAAACCTTCACAGACGTGAGTGTGCTTACTTCCCGGACATCAAGCTAAACCAGTTCAGGATCAGGGTCTCTAACAGCATTCTCCTGGCTGGTCAGCAGCAAAACCTTAGTCAGATCACCTTGTTGTTTGGGGTTTTTACAGTCTTTAGAGTCTTTGCTCCGTGACGCTTCAGAAATGGAGAGGTCCGGCTTCGCAGGGGGTGCTGGAAGCCATCGCCAGATGGACCGTGTCTCTGCTTGCTTGTCACGATGCAAATTCGGCGGGACCGAGCGAAATGCCTCGGGAGATCTGTGCCCTGGGGCGTCAAGGTCCGTTCCCAGCGAGAGACGCTCAGGAGGAAGGAATGAGCCGGTGAGAGGTTTCTCTCACACAAAACCACTTAGTTTTGCCCCAAGCAAAGTGTTTCAAAAATCAGGTGAGCATATACTGGTGACTCTGCCTTTTTAGATAACCACGGTGGATAACAACACCCTGGAGAGGTATGTGCAGGGGGATGACGGAAACTTTCCTGTGAGCGGCTGACTCGGTCTAAGGTGCTCTCTCCCTCCCCCCCGCTCTCCAGTAGCGTCCAGGCACCTGGAGGCTTCTGTCTCCGGCATCTGCCTGTGCGGGTCAGGCTGGCCCGGCAGCCGCCACCCCGCCGTCCCTCACACGCTCCCAGCACTGCCTGTCGCTGCTCCCCGTCGCATCCCCCGGCCGGCCACCCTTCTGCCCCGAGCCCCGGCGCGGTCCCGCGGGGCGAGGCGGGTTCCCCGGCCTTGAGCGGCCGCCGGGCGAGCCCGCATCGGCTCCTCCGCCGCACCTGCCCGGCCGGAGCGCGGGGCGGGACCGGCGGCAGCTCCGGAGCGCCGGGACCGGCGGGGCAGCGCGGGGGGCAGCGCCGGGGATCCCCCGCGTCCCGCCCGCCCGCCGGCTCGGGCAGCTCCGCGGAGCCGCAGCCCCCCGTGCTCCGGAGCAGGAACGCTCAGAGCGAGAGGCTTGGGCTGGAAACTCAGGGGGGAAGGAGTGGGAAAATAGGTGGTGTAGAACGGGACCGTGTCATGACCAGAGCTGCACGACTGCATCAGCCCGCGATGGCTGGGTTTGAGAGACCTCATGAGGCAGCTCAGGCTCGAGCGAGGTCAAGCGTTTCCTTGATCAGCAGAAGTTGAAACTGAATCTAACTTTTTCCGAATGGGAAGGCAGGATTTGGTGTGATAAGCATTGCTTTGACTCAAATTAAGTCTCATATTCCAGTAAAAAAAAAAAAAAAAAAAATCACACATCTCCTCAAATGCTGGAAAATCCCTCATTAAAGTCCTTGTCTAAACGGGAAGTGTATTTTCTATACTCTTAGCCAAACAATGCAGAAAGAATCCTACGCTGGTTTAGAAATAGTAATAACAGTAGTAACACAACCCACATGTGACTTCCATACTGCCTACAAGTCTCATCTCACTGATGGAAATCCGCTCATTCAAATTCATGAGGTACCGAACTGTGGCACATAAATTATCAGTTTGTTGCTGCCGTGATTTGTGAAAGAGTTTCAGCAGGTAAAGCTGGTTCAAATCTGTCACAAAACATTATGTTCTTTGTTCAGATGCTCATTTTGTTCTTCCTAAGAACTTGCATTACCATGCAGTTTGGAAATGAGCAATAGTCACAGAATTTGTACTATGAGGTAACAGTGATCACTTCTAAAAATATATATAATAGATAGTGAGTTATTTCCATTTTGAAAAAAAAGTTACATGCAATGTTACATTCCATGGAAATATTCACAAACTATCATTCTGAGGCAATGCCACATAATTCAGCAAGTCTGGGCTCTGATTTGAAGTGTAAGGTCTCCTCTGGATGCTGCCTCATCCATTGCAGGAAAATTGGCCTGGAGGAACATCCAGCTCTTGTACTTGTTTACTTGGGTGTGTCTTTGAACCTCTCGGTGTTGCCATATGTACAGAAGACTTTACAACATGCATCTCTTCTGGCAGGGAGATTGTGATGATTAGTTGCTATTTATAGAGCATTTTATTCAGGCTGAGATTTAGTCCAAAACAAAAGGTCTAAAATCTGTAGGTATCAATGGGGAATCAGTTTGAGGCAAATATTTTGTGCTGATTATGGAAGAAAGTTGTTGTTTGAAGCCAGTGGAAGTGCCTTCGCTTTGGGTTTAAACAAACTTACTGAATTCACATGCCAGAGACTTGATTGTATTTCAGGCTGTATGAAACCAGCAGAAAGATAACACTAACAGAAGAATGGCCCCCTGTGAAGGACGTAAAATCTCAGTCAAGCTCCATACAGAGAAGCCTCACTGTTAGCGCCTGCACTAAGCCTGTTTTGTCTGTGCCGAGGGCACAGCATCAAGGAGCACAGTTTCTGGCAGTCCCATTGGAAGTAGTTTTGGTGAGCCTTATGCCTGATAGGATTGAGTACACAAAACAAAGCCTCCTAAATGAGGGTGGGAAAACCTATTCAGGATCATGGGTGCTTGCCTGTTCTGGCATGGGGTGAGGTGACTGGATTAAGAGTCTGCAGCAGAGTGTGACTTTTATATTTCCTGAAGGAGGAGTTGACCATAGAAGGTATTGTGAACCTTCACAACTTGTTGTTGGTAAGTGCACAGTTTGAGTGTGGCAACATTGTCCCTTGAGTGTTTCCAGACTCTTGGGGAGGCTGCAGCCCCGCAGTTCTTCCCCTGGGGTAAGTATATGACTGCTTACTGGCTGCTTCTAGGCCTTGGTGTCCTCTCAGAGCGGATGGTCTGTGAGCCCCTGGCTCACATAGGGAATTATGTTTTCTGTGGTTTGGATGAGTGTCCAGTTTATTCTGCGTTAGGCTTTAGGTGAAAAAATACTGTGTCTGTTCCACTTCATCATTTGTCCCATAAGAACATAAGATTGCTCTATACTTAAGGGAAGTTGCTCAGACAAGTTGTGGCTGCCCCATCCTTGAAAGCGTTCAAGGCCAGGCTGGATGGGGCTTTAAGTAACCCAGTATAGTGAAAGGTGTCCCTGCCCATGGCAGGGTGTTGGAACAAGAGGATCTTTAAGGTCCCTTCTGACCTGAAATCACATTTCATGTGATTCTACGAAATAAATGAGCTCAACTGAACTTCCTATTTCTTATTTAAGATGCACTACCTGTTATGACAGGATTTATAAACTTTGGCTGTATTGGTCTAGGTGGAAGAAGGAGTAAGGCTGTAAAGTGGGCACAAGTAGTATTGGGGAATCAATAAGTAAACATCTTCCTCTTGAACCAGCATTTGTAAATGCTCTGGGAAAGGTGTGAGGTATGAGGCAATATTCTCCTGCTAGAGGTGCTGTGTTAAAAGAGCAGTGAGACTCAACTATGGAGAGTTTTTATTACATATTGAATCTTTTTATGAGCGCAGATATGATAACCCTAAGGTCCCATTTCAGCTCCAAATTAAACTTTCCCTTCCAGGTTTAGCTGTACAGAACATTATCCCTCACTTTTGTAAACTGTTGCATGTCCTGCAACCAAAATGCATATGCATGATTTAACAAAGGTATTCTGAACTACTGTCTAGTGTGACTGACCCCATAGAGTGCAGCTCTTCTTCAGAAAGTGAAGTCAATCTTTTCAGTGCATATATTACACATTTTTCTTTACTCCTAAAATTAACAAGCAAATATATTAAGATTAGATCTTTAAGCAAATATATTAAGATTAGATCTTTATACATGTCATTTGCTTCAAAATAGCTAAGCTATGAAGTTGATTGCTCTGAGGAGATGTCGACCACTTCGCTCCGCCAGGAAGGCTCAAGCGGGAATACTGCTCGATTGTCAAAGTTTACCAACCAGTTGGCATCTGGCTTATCAGCAAGACACTGCATCGGTGCGTCCCAGCTAAGAGGTGTAAGACTTGCATGTTTGAAACAGAAATGTCTCAGACCCCTAATGACTGTCTGCTGGGTCCCTCGTCATGATGAGTGATCAGGAGTAAATCCAGTGAGTTCGCTGCAGTTCCACGTGCATCCCGGTACCCACGGCTGCTGCAGCTCCTCACTGCAGTGCAACAGATGTCCTTAGGGCTGTTCGTTCTCTCTGTGCTGTCAAACGGGACGTACATGGGAGCTCATCAGAACGTTTCTGCAGACTCCACCAGCTACCCAAGCGCTGTGCTGTCAGACATCACGTTCGTTCATCATCAGCACCTCTGCCACCGCTGGCAGAGCCCACCGGGCTTTCGAGGGCGACAGTCCAAAGGTGTCGGCCTGGTCCGAGCATTGTAAACAGCAACACGGCACCTCCGGCGCTGCCACCGCCCGTGCCCAGCAGCATGGCCGGGACCAGGCGGGTCAGGCCGAGGCACCGCCGGGCTCATCCCTCGCCTGAGCCCCGCGTGGGGCGGGCGGGCTCCGGGGCAGAGGTGGGATCGGGCAGCGGGGCCGGGCCGGGCAGCGCAGCCCCCTCCGGGGCCGCGGCCGGTGCTGTGAGGGGGCCCGGGCCGAGACCCTCCCTGTCCCTCGGTACCGCCACAGAGCCCGGCCGAGCGGCGGGACGGCTCCCCCCGCGGCGGCACGTCCCGCACATCCCGGACGAAACGTAAACAGGAAACATCCTGGAAGGGCAAGTCCCGGTTCCCGAGGCCGGACTGGCGGGGATGGCCCGAGCTCGCATTAGCCGGGTTCCCTTTTCGCGGAGCCTCGGCGGGGGCGATGCCCGGCCCCGGCGGCTCCTCTCGGGAGCGCTGAGGTGCGGACCTGCCCAGGCACCCGGCTCTGCCCGGGCGTGCGGAGCGCTCGGCCCCGCCGCGTTTGTCTTCAGTCCCGGGGAGCGCAGCCCGGCCCCGCCGCCCCCCGGGCGGGCACCGCGCAGGGCGCTGCCGGCACACAAAGCCCACCGCGGGCGGGGCACGGACCTCCCCCGCCGGGCCCTCCCCGCCCGCGGGGGGCTGCGGAGGGAGGCACTGGCGCTGGCACCGGTTCGTGCCGGGGCAGCGGGCGGCCCGGGATAGCGGGAGCTCTGGAGCGCCGGGCACAGCCCGGGATAGCGGGATCTCGGGAGCGCCGGGCACAGCCCGGGATAGCGGGATCTCGGGAGTGACCGGGACAGCCCGGGATAGCGGGATCTCGGGAACGCCAGGGACGGCCCGGGATAGCGGGATCTCGGGAGCGCCCGGCACAGCCCGGGATAGCGGGATCTCGGGAGTGACCGGGCACAGCCCGGGATAGCGGGATCTCGGGAGCGCCGGGCACGGCCCGGGATAGCGGGATCTCGGGAGCGCCGGGCACAGCGCGGCCGGGCCGCCCCAGCCCCCGCCCAGCCCGCGGGGTCACGGCGAGCGGTCCGGGCGGCGCGCAGGCGCACGGCGCGCTCGCGCCTCCAACATGGCTGAGGTGGTGCCGCTCCTCCTGCGGCGGGCGCGGAGCGGAGGATGCTGAGCCCGCCCGGAGCCGCCGCCGCAGCCGCAGGGGTGGTGAGGCCGAGGCGCGCCCCGCGCAGCCATGGCCAGGCTGGCCGACTACTTCATCGTGGTGGGCTATGACCACGAGAAGACAGGTAGGTGTGGCTGCGCGCAGCGCTGCCCCGCCGCGCCTGGCCGCTCCCCCCTGCCCCGCGCTCCTGCCCGGCCCCGGCCCCCGCCCGCCTCCGGCCGGGCCGCGGGAGGAGGAGACTGCGGCGCTCACGGGGCGCGCGTCCGGCCGCGGGAGGAGGGGGCGAGGGCAGCGGGACCGGGGCAGGGTTAATGCCCCGTTCCCGAGGCGGAGCGGGGCCGGCGGGGGAGCGGAGGGGCTCCCGCACCGCCCCGCCGGGCGCCCCCCGGCCCTGCCCCGCCCGCCGGCAGCGGCGGCGGGTCCGTCCCGACAGCGCGGGCAGGTCACATCGGTCCTCACCGGCGCCCCGGGGCTGAGCAGCGGCACCCGCGGCTCCCGGGAGAACAAAGGCCGGGGGGCCCGGGAAGCAGCGGGGTGTTTGCCCCGTCCCATTGATCATCTGCCGCCTGTTGAGCTGTGCCGCGGGAGCCCGGGGAGGCTCTCGGGATTGGCTCCCCGGGAATGGCTGCTTTTCCTTACGGCTCGGGATGCGTTCTGTCTGCTCGGGGGGAAAGGGAAGTGGTGTTATCGGCTGTCGCTTTGTGGGGAAAGAGAGAGTGGTTTGTGTTACGTAACTGCCCGTTGTGATACCAGAGAGACCTTAAATCAGTGCGCGAACTGATTCGAAAATGAAGTGATTGTCAAGTGGTATGCGCTTGTCCGGGTGTTTCAGAGTGATCTTTTGAATGTATGTTGTTAATAAACAATATTTTAAGCAGTTGAATGTCCCCTAATTTATTTGTCTGTGCATAAACCAAGCAACACTCAAGTTTGTTACTCGGAGTAGTTCTTTGAAGTAGCAGTTGCATGTAATCTGTATTTGTTCATTCTAAAAGCATAGCTAATAAACTCAGACTAAGAATTATTTATCTTTTAAGGAAATATAATTTTTAAAGAAACCGCTGTATCTGTATGTTTAAAGATACAGTGTTTTACAAAGTTCTACTAAGGGTCTTGCGTTTTACTATATTGGTTTTATTATTGCTCTAATTGTGGCCTGATTCCCCCTCCCATCCCATTTGGTAATAGGCTTGTTGTAATTGTGCTGTCAAAATTAAGACATGTGAAATGGGGAGTATATTATGTTAAAAGTAAAGATCTCCCTTTTTGCCCCTCTCCTGTTTGGAACTTTTCCCCTGACAAAGTAGAGAGCCCAAAATCAAAACAAAGAAGCAACCAAAAAATCCAGGTGTGCTTTTAAGAAGCCAAGGCAAGTCGGCTGCTTACTTCAGGGTATGATCAATCTGACGTAGCCAGTATGTGAAATAAAATTACAGATTGCATTGGAAAGCTTTATATTTGTAAAATGTCTTCATCTGTAGGTTTAAGTATGTGTTTAACTTCCTGTACATAAATTGTCTCGTGAAGGTTAGTAGAATGGCTTGCATGGATGAAATTGAGCAGATTCAGAAATAAATCCAAAATCTTAATTTGAAAAGGTCATGCCCAGAAAGTAACTATTTAGACTTCATTATTTAAATTACTTGTTGCTACTTTAATGCTTCATAATAAAAATGCTTGAAGGAACAACATTCTGTTGAAGACTAGGCATGCATTGTTTTCCAAATTCCTTTACCCCCACATGCAATCCCATAATACATGGAGTACTGACCTTTATTTTTCTTATAAAATGGTAGTTTCTTGATGCATTTATTATGCTTCCTTCCATATGAAAAGCATGGACAAACATTTCTAGGATTATAGACTTGCTGCTCTTGAAGCTTTTGTATTTTTAAGTATGTTCTCTTTCTCTTTCTTTTTAATCTTCAGCAACATTCTGGCTTGGATTTAATGTGTTTGATTTTAAAGTTGAGTATAATTACATTTTATAGTGTTGTGGGTTTTTTTCAGGCATAATCTGTGGAGTAGCTTTGCTCAAACAAGCAAACAAAAATCCTGTCATCTTCCCCCTTTCCCCCAACCTGTATGTCAGCAGCAGCTGGGATAATGTGTGCTTGTGGTTAGTAGGGAAGGAGGTTTACGGTAGCGACTCCCAGAAAAGCCCCACTGTGTCTGCAGTCTCTCCGTAGGAACCATCATCTGCTCTGGCTGGTTGTATGGATTTATTTACATGTGCCAATATCTGCAATACCACTGAAGAATGTGGTAAATTTATTGCTTTCCTGAGCAGATTATCTGGCTTTATTCAAAGCCAGTTTGCTATAAATGTCTAAATTGCAGCGCCTGTGCACTTGTGCCATTTAGGAGCAGATTTCTACATTTTCTTTGTTGCGGAACAACTTTGTTATTGAAGTACTGTGAGTTTTTATCCAACGTAGTCTTAAGGGGAAGTGAGCGGTTTTATTTTCCTCGAATAAACCAAAGAGCTTATCCTTTGGGAGTCAAACGTATGAAAGTCCATTCCTGTTCTGGTCTAGGCCTGTGTAAATTGATGTTACAGCAGTCCCAGTGCTGTCATTCCTATTGTGCTAAATCTTCCTTTCATTTTCAGCTTGCTTTAGGATGCTGACCTGTCAAAAAGGCCTTTCTCGCTGAGCGTATTGCCTGTGTTGCTGTATTATTTTGTTCCTGGGTTACTTTTCTGCTAATTTTTCAAGCAGAGCTGGCTCTTTGGGATGTCAGATGGATGCCGCTGTTGGCGTAAGGGACGATCAGGAGCGTGCCCGAAGACAGATCAGTCCACCCTGAACTTATATCAGCATAAGTGGTCCTAGAACCTTGGGCAGTGTTAGTGGGGTGCCTTAGTCTCCTACGTGCTCCAGGGAGAGCAGTGGAGGCCTCTGGATAGTTTGCCCAAGAGGCAGTTCATTCATGCTTGGCAGGACGCACGGACTCCGCCTGAGCGGAGAATGAGCTGTGCTGGTGACAAATGTCAGTAGAGTTGCAGGCATGTAGGAGGTTGAGGAGTCATTTTGTTGTAAAGGATGACCTGATTCGCTCATCTTTTTGTGTTTTTCAGGTATATCTGTCTGTATTCCTACTTAACTTTGTCTTTCACCAGAGAACTGAGCTTAGATATATCACAGTTTTAATTGCTGTTGTGTGTTTTAAGAACTCATTCTGAGCCACTTGAAGGAACTGCAGGAGCAGCAGCTTCTGTCAGAAGTTCATGTTCATTGTCCTGAGAAACCAGATTAGATAAATCCCCAGAATTTAATGAAACCCCATTTTTTTGTCCTAACACTGGGAATATGAAGGATTTCAGTCGTACACCAAGGTTGATTGCTTTTCTGTGTTTATTTTGCCTTCAGCTGAACCTTGTCTAGGGTAGATAACCACATTTTCCCTCAACATATCAGCACACTATAAAACTATTATGTAACTATTATGGCTACAGAAGGCACTTACAGAAGTCTCTGAAGGGAACAAAGGTGCCAGAAAATGTAGGCGTTCTGGGTTAACAGCTAGAAGAAATCCCAGAAGGCCTTGCTGTGTATCCGTTTTATTTTTTCATGGATTTTTGAAGTGTGTTTGATGTGCTTCACCAAAACATTCCCATTTAATATGTTTGAATAATGGAATGTGGATGGGATTTAGGAAGAACACAGATGTTTGCAAAGATCACAGAAGGGCATGAGAAAATGCCTTTTTGTTTGGTTTGATTTTGGTTTTGCTGGTACAAGCCCCAACCATAAATCTCTCCCTAGAATTTACGTATGGTGATACTTGGAAAAGGTAAAAGAACATTTTGTGTCTGTCTTAGCTCGGCAGCTGAAAGGTAAGGAGGAAGAAGAGAGGATCCAAACACTGGATTAAGTTGCCCATACACCCATAGCAGCTTTCCTGTGGGATGCTGTTGTCTACCCAGCAGTTCACAGGGAAAACCTGTGAGGTGGAACAGGATGTTTTCTGTAAGAAGACAGAGGGATGTTTTGTTCTTCCTCATGCATACAGTTGCAATGTGTATGACAGAAGGCTTGCAACAGTATAGCAGTTTTATTTGGCTGTTGTCATAACTGATAAATGCTGGTATAACATGTGTAGGCTCTGTTGTGGTTGTTTCTGTTCTGATTTTTATCAACTTCTTTTCAGGGAAGCCTTTGTTGTCTAACATAGCTTCGTATCGTGGCGGATTTTGAAACTAGACAAGTGATTCTTGATAGAGTGGGAGAGGTTCCTAAATGGAGTTGTCTGGTTCCTTTTTTCTTTTTTTCTGTGAGCAGATTTTGCCTGTGGAGGATATAATATCATGAAGATTTTTTGGTGTATTTGTTATATGTTCATAGTTGGGCATTCCTCTGGGCTAGTGTGTGTATAAGGAGCGGATGATTTCTTGCTGTCTTGTTATGCAACCTCTGTGAAACAGAAAATGTAGAAAAATAAGAGAAAAAAGCTGTTACTTCAGTGAGTTTCTTATCTGTGCTGTGGCTTAGTTTGATTCAAATGCAATCCATGGAAATCTTAAAGGGGTTAAAAAACCCCAATGAAACTGAAATCCTTCTTATTGTGGCAGGAGGGTCTTGTAGCTGTAATGGGATGAAACATCGAGTTTCATTGCTGTTTCATTCCATTGCAGTGTGGGATCAGGACTGAAGCAGGATGCACGTGTGTGCTGGTGAGAGGTGACTGTAGCTGGCTGTGGCTGGATGGGGCATGGCTGCCTGGAAACTTCCTCAAACAAATTAGTTGCTCTAGTAAATGAAATGATCTCTTCCTATAAACCTCTTGTTTTCAAATACAGCAGATTCCACAATGCTGTGCTGAAGCGAAACGAGAAAAGAATATTTCCACTGCATGTGGTTTGTTTGTTTGTGAGGGTTTTTTTGTGGTGGTGTTTGTTTGTTGTACATTTTTTTTTTTTTTTAAATGAGCTAAGGCTATCTTGAAAATCTGCTTGGAGTAAACCTCCCTCCCAGTATTTTTTGGTAGGATGTCTTCATAGAAAGATATTTGAGCAGTTTCTTCTGATAAATAACGTTGACTCAAAAAATATTGTTATTTTGATTCACGGATTTGTTTTCATTTTAGAGAAATCTTAAAATCAATACAGGTCATGTGCCTTTT